GTTATTGTACATGATGGCACTATATAAATTAAAAGAGAAAATAAATTACGACTCGGGCAGGTCTTGAACCGGCATCATTAACGTTCACCGTCAACCTTAATAACTTTTAATACGCAAGTGTTGAGGTGCGCGGAGGTGGATGTAGCAGTAGGTTAAAAGAATTTGACGATGACATGTAGGACATGGTAGCTCAAATGGTAAAGCAAAGAACGCTGACGATGCTGGTTCAAGTTCTGCGCGAGTCGTAAAGTTTTAAAATTATTTTCGATTTTTAATTCTTTAACTTTTTATTATTTTCTTTCGGGGACAGCATTTTAGCCATTTCCCATGAAATTGTTTAATTTGGAAGCAAATTCAATGTAATAAAACATTATTTAATCACTTTTGCATTGTTCAAAGTATAATTATTTATTGTTCTTATATACATTTCTTAATTAAATTAAATATTGATTAACGTGATAATAACACAGTTTTTGTTTTACGAACGATTTAAACTTATTTATTGCGTTTCTTGTCTCCTATTAGTACAGAAAAGCTATAGGTTATAACAGCGCGATGTTATAATCTATAGCTTTTCTCGATAAGTGTTCTAACGAACACAAATCTATTTTTTTTATTCGAAGCAGTAGTAGTTCCTGAGATTAGCGCGTTCAAACAAACTTCGTAGCTTTATATATTAGAATAAATAAGTAGATGTTGTTTATTTTCGTGCCCGTTACGTAAAAACATTGACTGCCCCTGTAGCTAAGTGGTTAAATGTTTTGTCCAGCATTGTGTTAAGCGCAAAAGGTTTTCGGTTCGAACACTATCAACGGTTTAAAACGTGAAATATGTATATGAGTTATACGGCTTAAATAAATTAAAAAATATGCACGTTCTAAACCAGCACGATTTTTAAGTTATTATTAAAAAATAGCGATGTTTATCGAATTTTTAATATTTCTGGATTCTTACCCTGGAAGTCAGCAACCCTAAGTTGGTCAGGGAAAGCCGAAGCTCCGGCGACGAGGAGGACGAGTCCAAATGCGAAAAACTTCATTTTGCCCAATTGACTAAAAACAAAAATTGTTTAGTAACCACGACTAAGAATTATTATTACAGATAATGATGAAACAAGATGCAACTAGAAGACTTACTTATAAGAATACTACAAAAGAAATGAGATATTTCCTTCAAGCTAATAAACTACCAATAATAATAGATATCAATTAGAAGTTAAAAGTTTCACTGTTGAACTTACCTTGCGTAAGCACTCAATGGAGTTGCCGACAAAGGGCGCACATTTATATACAAAAATTCCGCGTGTGGTATCTGATAAACGATATTTTTGCCTCACTAATCCCTCCACGATTAATACACCTATCTACATTATCGCGGTGAGGATCATATTATTATTTTAACTATTAAATTCGGGTTACGATTAAAATTATATCCACCATATCATAAGAGATGTGTGGTTGCTTTGTGGGCTGAAGTCGGAGACTGAAACCGATAGGCGAATTCACATTTTACGTGAAAATCTTCAACGGCGTTGTGCACTTGTAATGGGTAAAATGATAAACTCGATACTGTCTATAGTTTACGCGAGTAGTACACATTTAAATAAAACACTTTAACGGTTTAAAACGCGATATATTAGTTAAACTTATTTGAAAATGATTTTTAACTTCGGCCCGACGTCTCGGATGCTTTGCAGCAGCCGTGGTCACGGGGGGACTAAAGATGGAGGATGTCTCTGACGTCAAAGTAAAAAATTGCTCCGCAAGCGCCATTTTAAAAATCAGAATCAGGCCGAAGTTAAAAATCATTTTCAAATAAGTTTAACTAATATATCGCGTTTTGAACCGTTACAGTGTTTTATTTAAATGATAAACTCGCCTCTCTACACAATTCCCGATCGAAAATTCGTAAAACGACGGGCAAACAATTAACATTAACATTTTTGTGCACGATAGCAGAATAAATAGCTATCGTAATTTAGCAAATATATGATAGTACCTACTTTAATACTAATAATAAAAGCGAGTCTTGCCATTATTCTATACTATTTGCTCCAAATAAATTGTGAGTTTTACGAAGGTAGTTATGTTTTTCTTCAGTCGAATTAAGTCAGCTCGCCCTGTAAACGCTTCTTAGTGCCTCGTGCAAATTGGTTGTGCACAGTTCTTGTTTTGACATGTGACTGCCAGTTGTGTATAATTAACGTATAACACCCGCGTATTAGGAAAGCGACAATAGTTATTTTTAGTAATAGTTTCCGCGAGTCCAGTGCGTTTTGAGGAGTTATCGCGTTTTCTTAAATTAGTGTACTAAGCGCTGACGTTCGTGTGTATAGCCGACCGCTGTTTATTTTTTAATACTGTAATTCACAGACTCTCATATTATAGTGCACGTTAATACATCGTAATCAGAAACCGGTTTGAAGACCAGAGGTAAGTACGTAGAGAATGCATCTTATTTAGCCACATGTTTATTTGAAATAGTGTGTCGATGTTTTTTTATAATTAATCGTATGTTTCCTATAATTACGTAATTAGTGTATATAATAATGCTATTTTAATTAGGGGGACTAATAAGGTATTATCCGATAAATGTTATCATAACTTCCGTTGGTAATTTTTGTCGATAAAAATTCACATGAGGTAAGATTAATGCATTTATGCTCTTTTCACACGCAACAAACATTTTTCGATTCATAAAAATTTGTAAATGCTTTTCGCAGCCTTTTGCCAATGCTTCTTCGAAAATGAAATTCGATAGTACCTAAGTTCAAAAAGAATTGCTAATCCTAGGATCTCTTATCTTATACGATATATATATAGTACCAAATGTTTCTGCAGTAAGATTGTTAGGTTTCTGATACAGTTCTGTAAATAAGACATATTTTATTGAATCACTAAGATATCTGGCAAACCTTGTTTTGTTGTTTGCAAGATTACTATTTTTATGCGGATACAAGTCCAACCTATTTATTTACACTTTGTTTATTAGGTACGATATTCATGTTATCTAGGTATATTAGGTATGCGAGAGACCCCTGACTTAAATAACGGTATTCATACCGGACAATTAATTTTAATGAAATATAAGTTATTTAATTAAATTATTAAAAGATAGATATATACACTATTGCGGACATTTTTAGATCACTTAAAGATTTTTTTCTATAATCTAATAAATAAGAATAGTAATAATAACATTTTATTTAAATGTGACACACAAAATATGAACTAAATTAACATGATTACTATAATTAAGCAAATTATATAAAGATACAAAGTTTAAGAAATTGGCAACGGCAACTCAAGAAGGCAAGAAGACACTCAGCATAATATAAGTAACACGCGAATGTTGCAACTGCTATTGTAACGGCGCCACCGCTTCCAGAGCAACAACTCACAAATGTGCGTTAATAGTACATTATGATATAAGTGCGATAAGTTGAAAATTACAGCTGAGGCGACAAGAATACAGAGGCTGTAATTTTCAAAGCGCACGTATGTCATACGACGTTTTAAAAAAGGCAAAAGTTTTGCACCTTTGCCTGAAAAAAAAACAGCCAGTATTACTAATAAAGTAAATTAATATTTTTATGTTTTTGTTATAGATAAATGGTTGTAATTTATTGTCAAAATTAATTAAATTAAAGAATTTAATTCTTTAATTTTTATATTTTATGTTATATTGTTTATTTGTTATATTTTATGTCCCAAAGTTAATTTTATTTATAAAATATTGACCACTTTCTTGTCATAAAACCTCTTTGCTAAGATTTTTAAAAGTATAGTCCCTTTTTTAGATGGAATATCTTAAAAAATTATTAAAAAAACACGTGCCTTTTACATTACATTATCGCACAAGTACGTAATGCGATACATTATGACATTGAAATTGGTGTAATTACAAGCGCTTTACGAGCAAATATGTGTTAAAAACTAATACACTTTGAACTAATATAACACATTATGCGATGAACAAATCCTATTCTACAATAAACACATATTATATACATCTAACTAACGTGCCCTAATTTTTGATTTTAATAACAAACAAAGATAAATAAAATTAAAATCTATACTAATATTTAAAGCTGAAGAGTTTGTTTGTTTGAACGCGTTAATCTCAGGAGCTACCGGTTCGAATTGAAAAATTCTTTTTGTTTTGGTTAGAACATTTATCGAGGAAGGCTATTAGGCTATAAAACATTGCCTTGTGATTACAAGCGAAGATATAACGAGAAATTTTAGAAAATTTGGGATAATTATATATCATTATAGGTTTTCGAAGCGTACGCTGCAAAGACGGTTCAAGGTACGCAAAAATATGTCTAAAAGAATGATACTCCTTCAAATGATCAAAAACGTCCGTGACGCTGTATCTCTGTATCTTTTAAGTTAACTTGCAAAAACGACGGAAAGAGTCGCGACCGACCCAAAATAACGAATCTCGCGGACGAAGTCGCTGACACAGATCGTCCATTAAAAAATTATGGTCTTCTCTGATCTATTTCTGTCTCCTACCTCTGAATCAATGACCCTAGCTTAAATTGTTTGTTAGAAACTTTTTGTTTATTTTTCAATATGTAAAGTTGAAATCATGGAAATGACGTCTAACTGCTTTGTGTATAAATATCTTTTGAGGTAATTTTAAGGAAGTTCCGAGAATGGTGGTTGAGAAATTTATAAGACTATGAAGTAATATTTTATGTCTGTGAACGTAGCGTATTATAAAGTTACAAATATTTATTATCAAAAAGTTTATCTAACATTCTTAGCAAGTGTTAAAACGATAACAAGAAAAAATGTATTACTTTTGTGAATGTTGAACGTTTTGATATTGTTAAAAATCCTTGTCAGCTATTTATAGGCTTCAACAAAGTGAATGTCACAGAGTGCTTTCAAAGAAATCTTTTTGTATTATAATAAAATGTTCACAGTTTATAATAAAACCTTTATTGAATTAACGTAATGTTAAAAACCTAAGCAACGATCGCTTATCATTTAAAATGAGGGTCTGGGTCTGTTATTCAAGTAGAACTGAGCGATTCTCCTGATCACGGAGCTTAGCACCCTGTTGATGTCGTTCTGAAAAAAATATATAAATGTTATTGTCGGGCCTATATTAATACATTTTCGACGATGATATTGATGAAGCATTAGTCTCACCTCGTTGTTCTTCAAGAAGTTGGGAATTCTGACATTGAGAAGGTTGTTCAACCATTCGCTGTGGTTGTTCTCCAACACTTCGACGACTAGGTCGGACTGAAACCGATAAAGCAAAAATAATTATCCTACTTCTAGCCAAGACTAGCATTTTTTTAGCACTTTTCTAATTAAGACACGCGTGTTATCTGCACTTTAGTTAAGAGACAAGAAACAGTAGTTATTCTCTCACCGTGAGACCTCCAAGGCTGAATTTGGCATCGACCGAGGTGATGTTGGATGGACCCCCGACTAAGTTGGGTTGGACGTAAGCTTCACCATTCAAACGGATGTTGGAGATTTTCAATCTGCGAAAGGAGAATGTTTGAATAGGACGACTCTACAACAATTTAACGCTTAAATCACTTTTCTTATTTCTTATAGAGATCTATAAAAGATCTGAAATTAGGTTATGTTAAACCTTTTCAAAGCGTCACGGGGAAGGAAGACTAGTTAAATGACGTTTGTATGAAGTGTGAGAAATGAAAAGATAATCTTACTTTCCGCCGAACTTAGCAGATACGTTCCTCGAAACGACAGCTCCCGAGAAACCAGCATCCTCTGAAATTCAAATTTCAGTGATAAATCATATTTTAAAAAGTGGGTAGATAACATCAGCAGTTTGCACGATCTGGTTCTACGTACCTAGGCTGAAATCAATTTCTGGGAGTTCTACATCTAAACGGAATCTGCTGAACACGTTTGAGTAGTCCAAGCTGTGGATGACGATGTTGCTCAAACCTTTCAAGTTCAAGCCTTGTATGAAGAGGTGAATGTTCAGGTATCTGAAACAAGGTTATTAAGAAATCAACACTTCAATTTTTCAGACTACGGCGTATTGTCCATTGTCCCGCCAAAACATTTAATTTTGTATGCGATATCGCTGCATATGTGTCCATTGAAACTTAAAGAATAAAACTTACGGGAAACGAGCGATGTGACGGTCGTGTCTTTGGACTGCTAGAGGATCGAGGTTGTTGTTGACGATGTATCTTTGGATGGCTTCAAGAGCCCTTCTAAAGTTGTCGGCGAACACTTCACCTTCGCTTTGGTATCCTGAAGGAAAAACAAATTTTAAAGTTAAAAACTGAAAAGCGGGTAGTTCTATTTTTCCAGCACAATTAAAAAGTGGCCAACCTTCAATATCGGGGAACGCCGCCGCTCCGGCGATGACGAGAGCGATTCCGAATACTAGGAATTTCATGTTGCCTGATCGACTGAAAAATAATATTTAATGAATATTTTTTTAATCGTAACACCACGTGTTCCCTCTGTAGGTAACCGTTCACTTACCCTCTTCAAGCTTCAATACGGCACTGTACGGCGGTCGCCCACTTTTATATGGCTTGTATTTTTATTGTCATAAATATTGATAAAAATCGAATGAGTCCTAATTTTAATCCAATCCTAGATAGACAATTTATAAGCCCTGATATCGGCGGAATAATCGTACCTCATACGTTTTTATCGTGTGTGCGATTGTGTTTATTAATAATTCTATCAATGGATTACTGTAGAATATGTTGTTTTAGCTATATGGAAAAATATATTCAAGAAATAAGGAAAGATTCCATGACAGTGCTCAGTGGACTCTATACATATAGTGTAGTTTAAATTCACGCCATTTTCAATGGACATTTTAGATCCGTACAATTTTAACGCATATCAAAACAATAACGGTTACTTTTACGTTAGCGTCTTTTGTACAGATCCTAACCACTGTCTGTAGTTGTCCAATTTATGTTAACAAATGTATTAAAAGAGAGGACACCCTGAGTCACTTCCGAGAGGACAAAATTCTCTCGTTTATCTTATAACTAGCTGTCATTCATCTTTATACATTTAAACTGTTACCCACGACGTCGTTCTTGCTTAGTTACCTAATCTCAAGGATAGACACGGACAATTCTCAGAACATTTAAAGAATCTTTTAAGAATTAAAAAAAAAATCATTCTTTAGTACATATTTTTTGGGTATGTTGAACCGTTTTTGCAGCTTACGCATCGGAAAACTACTAAGACGAATAATTTCCCACCTTTTTTTTTTATTTCCAGCCATTTCTTCGCCCCTATTAGTTACAGCGCGAAGTTTTTTTCGCACGTTATTGCACATAATGGCATAATGTAAACTATTGATTTTAAAGCTCTAAATATTTTAGTCCTTAAAATACAGATACAGACAGACAGACAGCCAAATCTTAGAGCTCCATTTTTACTCTTTGGCTACAGGCCCATAAATACTCCTCAAATTAGTAAGCCCAGCCCAAGGAAAAGGCCCAAATGAAACCACGCGTATATACAAGCATTTAATTTTCGTAATTAAACACAAATGCGAACATTCAATAATGCAATCATAGCACTAATGTTACTCGACAATAACGATCATTAAAGAAGGAATCAATTCAACCGATACAAGCGATGTTAGGCCTAAAGTGTTCACGTTTAGTCCAGAATTATACATAGGCCTTTTACATAGAAGAGAAATCGTACAGCGAAGCTTATTAGGCAAATGTGCATAAACTATCCCCAGTCCCACTCGTGGGATAAAATTGGTAAAGTAAGTCGATCAACAATATTAGGCGTCAGTCAATTGTCTAGTGGAATATTCTAAATTATATTCACAACGGATTATGAAATCCATCGATAGTGTTCGAAGTGTGTAATCGTTTTTGGCACTAAAAAGACCATTTCACTCCCGAACGGAACAGAAGAACTCAACGAGTGCAATTATTTAGAAGAAGAACTACACCTACGTTTTTCTCTATATTTAGTGTCGTATCAATATATATAAAAGTGAACAAGAGGCACTCTATAGGTTCAAATACGCGGGTCGAAATAAGCGTAGTTCTCGAAACTTTGAACGCGAAATTACATGAATTACTATATTAAGATGACTATCAAGCGGCGGGACGAAGCGGCCATCTCGACGTCAGTACCGATCGCAGACAGACTTCGTCCCCAGTACGACAATAGAAATTCTCTCATATAAATATACAATTTGGATTTTACTCTACGAACAAATGAATACGAGAAGATAACCGAAGACACCTACGTCTTGTAGTACAGCGTCTATCTCATACAGTATCGTCTTCCACAACAGGTTTTTTCATACATTAATAGGTATATTAGCACCCGACGGTCCTCCTGAATTAAAAAAAGACAGAGAGACCTTCGGAAAGTGTAACAATAAGTCTACGCTAACCTTATTTACATTCTTTAACTTCGGAATATTGACTGAGAACGTTTGGAACAATTTGGAATTCGCGTGAAGACTTGCACACCAATCTTAAACACCAATATTCGAAAGCTGAACCGCTGGACCTAGGACCCTAAACTATTAACAACTATATCGAGCCTAAAATATTAAAGTCCTACTTTTAAGATCTAACATATACTTACATACTTAATACACATAGATGGATAAAATCAAGAGTTTGCGAATACAGCTTCCGTTTAAATCAATTCTGACCGTTTCGATGCCAATAATAAAAGTCAGTAGAAAACGTTAATCCGTAGAGATATTTAATAGTACGATAATTGGTTCTGACTTCAGCCTTCCTATTTTATAGTCATCGTTAGAATTTGTTCATCTTACGTTTATCTTGAGGCGAAACGATGTCGTTATGTATCGTGAATTGTCTTCGTCGTGAGCCGGATCACTAGCAATAGTTTGTACCCAAAATCGGTATTATCATCGATCGTACAACTTTCTAATATTGGTCCGCTACAAAGTTACGAAATGACCTATAAAAAAATTACCTTATCGACTATATTTAGATTAAGGCCAGAACAATTTCAGTTCTATGCCTCGCATGATATGTATAGCGAGAAGCGCGTTAAAGCTTCCGTCTATTCCTTTCGCCACTTCTCACTCAGCCCTCACACTGTACTCGCTGTTAACACTGTCACAGTGTTATTTTCTCCTAAAAAGTCTCCCAAAGATATGTAAAGACTTAGAGTATTTTAAATAGTAACGCTACGTAGTTCTAAAATTTGTTAGTAACAAGTGATATGTTGACAGAGAAACCGCCCATCCCCCCACCCCTTAGAGACGACGTTAATTTTTACTTACGTTAAAAGCATCAGAATTACTTCAGGCAACATAACAATATTGTTACTTCGCTAGACAACTTATAGTTTTAAGATAGCTTACGACTTACTAAAACATAATATATATTTTACATATAAAAATAATTTCCGAAAATATTTCACGTATTATATTTTAACTAAATACACAACAACACACTCGTAGTAGGCCATCAAAATTAAATTTTATAATAATACAACCGCGACAATAATGTTATAGTAATACTAAAGATCTATTTACAATAATTAATCTTATTTAAATAAAACACTTTAACGGTTTAAAACGCGATATATTAGTTAAACTTATTTGGAAATTATTTAGTTTACCTAATATATCGCGTTTTAAACCGTTAAAGTGTTTTATTTAAATGTGTACTACTCGCGTAAACTATAGACAGTATTCAATAATGAATCTTATCACGATGAACATTTCGCCTACTTACCATGGAAATAACAATGTAAAAGCAATAATTACTAAGCGTTTGTACAAAGTGTCAATAATTCATATTTATTTGAACCACATTGCGTTTAGGTAGACCGTGACGAAGGTAAAGCTTAGAGTCAGAAAAGACATTGGCGGTGGTGCCGCTGCGTTCGTGCAGTTCTGGGGCGGTTCTGCTTTGCCTGTAACACGACAATGTTTAAGTAGAATAATCTGTGAAAGGGGAATCTACCAAAAATTTCAAATTCTACTCACTCGTCGCCGCCATCAATTGAGGAATATATTTCTGCCAAAATGCGCACTGTTTCACTCGCAAACCACGCCCCACGGCAGTGGAGTTCAAGGCGAGGGACATGTATTCACGACCTGATGCTGTGTGTATCGGCCACGGGTCTTTCATCATATCCCCGGCGGCATTTAAAGATGGATTCCTATTTGACAGTAAGAATAGTGAGTTAAGTCATAAAACGAGAGCTGTAACTTTAAAATACTTACCCGGATCTTGCGAAATTAGCCCAGTGTCTCATCAGGCGTCTACTGAAATCAACTTCCTCTGGAGAATAGTTTTTGCCGGGATTCAGTGGCTCTCCGAAAACGTAGTTGATTTCGTCTGCATGCATCACACCAGTCCAAGACGGCCAGGGGTTATTCTTGCTCCTGTGCTTGTAATAGTACATGTAGACATTATTTCCAGTCTCAGCGTATCGATGCGCAAACTCGTTGACTCCACACGTGAAATGATAGTCCCCGACCATTTTGTCGAGAGCGTTGCGATTTTGAACGGGATCTTCCGGATTGATCCAATCCGTGTATTCATATACGATAGCTTGGCGTGCCACGTCATTCACATATGGGTTTAATTCTCTCACGGCTTGCAGGTACTGTTCTCTAGAAATGCCGACGTTTTCTTCTTTAGGAAACAGTTCGGTTAAATAGTATAGTATAAAATAGTATCCCTCCTCAGTGTTGGAACCCATGAGTATATTGGTTTTCTTAAAATTCTGGTGCGCCAAAGATCGTCTAGGCATCTCGTCTAGGAACGAGCCGTCGATGATCGGGACGAATGGAAACTCACATATGCCCAGAGTCCCCCATTCGTTGTTGACAAGTTCGTCGGCGCTCTTCTCTCTTAAACACTCTATCATGGGCCCCATGTCAGTTCTAGAACTCGGACAGTGCACAGCTTCTGCCAGACGCATTCCACGCAGAATACTTTCCTCTCTTGAAATGATCGCCCATGGCGCGCTTGCTGCACCCGATTGCATAATGGCCTGAGAGAATAAGTTTCTCGAGAGAGGCGAAAGCAGATGAAGCGAGACCGACACCGCACCGGCCGACTCTCCGAATAACGTTATGTTATGGGGATTTCCCCCAAAGTATGCGATATTATCTTTGACCCACTCCAGAGCCATTATTTGATCGAAGAGCCCCGCATTGCCCGGAACATCGGCGGTATCGAAGAAGAGGAACCCGAGCGAGGCGACTCTGTACTGCATCGAGACATATACGATATTTTCTTCGGACACGAGAATTTTAGGATCGTACACGTCCAAAGTCGCGGTTCCAGAATAAAACCCTCCCCCGAAGACCCACAGCATTACAGCTGCATTCTTTGGCCGCGGTTTCGGTGAAACTATATTAATATAGAGGCAGTCTTCCTGCATGTCCGTGTTGGGATTCCACATCGTGGCGCCGGGAAAATCGCCGAACACCGTATCTACAATTTGGACGCACGAATGTGGCAGTGTCGTCGCATTGAGTATCTCCTCACCCCAGCTCTCGATGGGTCGTGGATGTCTGAATCTTAAGTCTCCGACCGGTTTTTGAGCGTAAGGAATACCGAACCAAGCGTCCACTTTTTTACCGGTCGCGGCCGTGAGGGTTATTCCTTTGACTCGCCCCTTCCTGGTGCGAATTATCAGCGGATCCTCCTCGTCTGGGCCATAGTGAGGTTCATCGGCCATGAGCTCTTCGACTCGCTCATGGTTCGAGTAGAACCTTTCATCGTGAGCTCTCTTGGAAGAGGTTTCGGTCTCTTCGAGGCGAGCGCGTTTCGAGGAGGTCTCCTGCTCCTCGATGCGAGGAAGGATGGTGTCAGACTCGGGGTTGTATCGCACGGCTTCCCCGTGCCCCCTGTAGGGCTGCGGAGGGGCCGGGATGGGGAAATGCGACGAGTGGTCCGGGGCGTGGTGACGAGCGCGGTGCTCGTGCGGGCTGGCCGACGCGCGGACGAGCAGCGCCGCAAATGCTGCGATCAACACCCGCATACCGCCGCTGCTCGCGCTGCCTGACACCACCTGGAAATGATGCCATACTCTACGTTATTTTCATACATATTAAAAGTCTTATTATTCCTACCTACTTTAAATTAAACAAAGGTTTAATCATTTGGAATGAAGCATCTAGTTAAGTATTGAAAGATTTGTAATGTAAAATCCACCCGTCGTCTTTCCAGTTAGACTTTCTTTTACCAGTTAACTGTATAACTAGCTGTACCAGCGACTTCGTCCGCTAAGAATATTTATTTTGGGCATCCAAGTTTTCTTTCTTTCCTTCATCTTTATAAACTTAAGCTGTTACCCACGACGTCGGTCGCGTCCCTTTCCGTCGTTAATCTTAAAAGATAGATATCTAACGTTCAGGACTTTTTTTTAGATCATTTAAAGAGAAATCATTCTTTTATACATATTTTTTGGTATCTTGAACAGTTTTTGTAACTTCGGTAACCCATTATTATGATTTAGCTATGAATGTGGCTAATAAGGCTCTATTTGTCATTACATACTTTTCTACCTGGCTTTTTTTTACATTTTATTACGGTTCGCATGTTTATATAAATTTTTATGTCTTTTATTTTGTATGGTGAGAAGTATAACTTTGACTATTGCCTCTTCCCCCGTGACTACGCTGCAAAGCATCCGCAACGTTAAGCCGTAGATTAAGAAATAAAAAAAAAGTTAACTAATATATTTCGCATTCATACCGTTAAAGGTGTTTTATTTAAAATAGTATAAGTTTTATAAATACTTGTAAGCTGAGTACACAGAAGCCTAGTTCAGAACCAGAGTAAAAAACCTATATTGGTTTTACAAAGGATGTAAGGATTTTATATATTAACGAGTGTATGAATTTAATGTATGACTATTTGATTTAAATCCTTAATCTCTCGAAAACAACAGATTTAAGCCGTATCATGGACTTACATAATGTTTAATCTCCGATAATAGTTGTACTCTGTTTAGTATTAATATCGATAATCTCATTTTTTCTAGAAGTTTTTATTGTTATTTTATGATTACTAATGTTATATTATAGTATTAATCAATTAAATAGATTTATGGACTTAAATACTGTCATAACTTTACTTAAGGTAACACAGTTAATTAAAACACATTGCAAGGGTTTATTTTAAATTTCACTTTGTAATTTGTTTTAGTTATATTATATGAAATATGCTGAGAGAAATTCACATTAGTCTTAATTTGTGTGAAATTAACAGTCAAACATATTTTCTTAGCTCTACTATATGTAAAACCTGGGTTTAAATAAACGGTAAGTCGACAGTCTCGGCCATCTGTTGCCAGTTTAGGATCTTTCTTTGACATACATTTTTTGATATGATAAATTTTTATAAAATACATTTTTACTTTCCTTTCGAGAAAATATACATTTATCAGTTCATTTAATCGCAACAAATGCATTTATCTCGGATCCATGTAACTAGGTAATTAAGCCGTTTTTATCAAAATATGACGCGATATTTCCACTTTACCTACAACACCAGCTATTTAAATAAAACACTTTATGGTTCAGAACTCGAAATCGTTCATCTTCGTTAACTTATTTGCAATTTATTTTAACTACGGCTCGACTAGGTAGCTTGATATCAGATGCTTTGCAGCAGCCGTGGTCACAGGAGCACATACATATGGGAGATAAAATAATACATTTCGTTTCGTTTTAAACAGTGAAAAGTATTTCATACTTCATATGGCATAAGAACATTTGCCAGGTCAACTAGTTGGTTATAACTGCTATCGTCGAGTCAACATATCAATGTTCCACTGCTGATACCGGTCTCCTGTCTCGTAGAACACCTTGGATCCATCACGTTAATCTAATGGAGGCTGACAAAAGCCATTAAATAAGTAAAGCTATCTAGTGCTAGCTGTGTGAGCGACTCCGTCCGCGTAGAATAGTTATTTGGGCATCAAAATTTGTTTCGGCAAAACCTCCCTTCATCCCGGGAGACCCGTCGTTCTTGCAAGGCAATCATAGAAGATAGGCATATACTGTCACGGTAATTTTTTAGTCTTTAAATATCACTTAAAGAGAACTCATTATTTCGTACATATTTTTTGATATCTTTCGCTGTATGTATAGATAATCACTTAACCAACAATATTACCTATCTCTTCTTTAATCAATAAGGAAAATATAAAACATTAGCTGTTCGGGCAAACGTTGTTTTGTTGTGTGCAAATTAGTATTATTAAGTTATTATATTGATACAACTAAAAGTAAATAAATACATATTTGTAATAATGCATTCATTTCGACTAAATTTGATTACCATTAAGTTTATCTTAAAAAAATGATATACTCGTATAGTGGAACGTATAGTATTACAAGGAATTATTTTATATATATTTTGGTTTCATGAACCGTTTTCGCACCGCACGCAAAAGAATTCGCGCTGTTTATACAAGAATCTTTATTAATAATATTATTCTAAAATACTTCTTTTTCATTCAATGTCATCGAGTTTGTTTTAAAGTTTTACTATGAATCACAATGAAACTCGACTCATTTGCTAAATATAACATATACATTTTGCGATTAAATCCGTTAGCAGTGTTTCAATTAAATCCAAATAATTAGATCGTAAATATATGTTCATTCATCAATGATAATCGTTGCTAAACCTAACAAAATGGAAAGAACATGACAACTACCGATATACGCTACCCCACATCAATTTCTTATCTAATCAAAAATATTGCACATATAAGCAACGCGATTGTAAAACAGGAACGGAAGTCATAACGTTAAATTTCATTCTATAAAACTTTATTTTTATTACCATCGCACTACTCCCGACTAGCTGCTCCAATGGTAGCGATTTATGGCTAAAAATCAACCAGCCGTGCGTTCGGATTAAGGCGTCTAATCATTTTCTAACTTTAGCTTTTAAAATTTGAAACGTGTTAGAAAATCTCAATACTAAATGAGTAGTAAAAATTTAAAATTTCGCACGAACGAGCCACTGTCGACACAATGGTGATTTTGAGTAGGCATTTTTTAACCGTGGATTTTCGCATTTCCAAATAATCAGACGGCTAGGATGCACTTTACTTCTACTGAACCTAATAAACTTCAAACAAATATGGCATTAATATATATATTACTAGCTGTGCCCGCGACTTCTTCAGCGTGGACTAGGGCTGATTTTTTAATTATTTAGGCTGTTAAGGCAGCCAAACTATGTTGTAAGTGCTACTTTGCCGCAACACTCTCACCTCACATCACTATTCTAACTCCCACTTTCATTCTAATACTCACTCCAGCTCTTAGTCCCACTCCACTTCTATTTCCAAAAAGCCAAAGAAGAAAGTTTCATTGTTTTAGCTTCAAATAACACGAATTTTCATACAACATTTAATCCCCATTTTCAACCCTTATTTGGCATTAAAAAGTGTACCAATACCTGTGTACCAAATTTCATTTAAATCAGTTTAGTAGTTTCGGAGTTAAAGCCGGACAGACAGACAAAGTTACTTTCGCATTTATAATATTAGTATAGATAGTAGTATTTATCGTTTTGCAAACATTCTCATCTTCTTAAATTATAGCTGTTAATAACCACGTAGTCTGTACCCCGTCGCGCTTTTGCAAGTTAATCTTAAAAGATAGATAAATACTGTCCAGAAATTATTTTTAGAGCACTTAAAGAGGAATCATCAACCAGTAGTTGATGTGATTAGCGCATTGAAATAAAGAAACTAACATACAAACTCTCCAGCATTATATATTAGATTCTCCGTTGTCTTCTCGCTATTTTAAAAACTTGTGAATTCGTTAATAAAAGACTGAGGTATGAAATTTTCTCTAATTTTGAGTTGTATTTTGTAATATACAACAATGTCGGCTATACTTTGGTCTTTTGTTTATTAGTGTGCTACAAACAAACAAAAATAGGTACTGCTTCTTGCAGCTTGTACCTTTTAGGAAATTGTACTTCAAACCAATAAAACTAGATATTATCATATATTTTTATAACCCAATGAGGATTTACATGCTCTGACAAAAATAATACTATCTTAAGCCACTACACATTATTTATTATTTTTTATTATTGTTATTAAATTTATTAAAAATGACACACTGTAATATCGTTGCGTATCATCCTATCGACCAAAGGATACATTTTACTATTTTTATGACCTATCTAATCAAGATGCGCTATCGTCCTATTCCGGCTTAGGAAATTCGCATTTTTAGCGTGTGACGAATTATTTGACGCTGTAGTCTTAGACATGAAGTGCTAAATATTGTTGCAAATTATACATTATACACTCTCTATACTGTTTCTGCTGTACTATTATGTTGGGATCTAATCGAAATGTATTGTCTTGAATAGTATATCTTAGCACTCTACAGTAGTAGAGTAGTACTCTAAAGTAGTACAGTAGTAAAAAATATGTATATTCATACTAATAATTACAACAATAATAGTCCCCCCGAGACCACGACTGCTGCTAAGCATTCGAAACATGAAGCCATCATTTTATATGTACAGAGTACTTGTTACAAAATGCATTCACAATGGCATTGGTGCTTTGTCGAACTGGGCACATGAGGGAAATTGCTTGCGGATGATAGCGTGGAAAAAAAAACCTTAAAACAGTAAGAACTATCAAACTATAAACGGTAACAACGCTTGAAAGAGCTAACAGGAAAAAGTCGAAGTTACACAAATTACACTGTACACAATGAAAAGAAATGCATGAATTTCGCTGCGTCTACAAATCCCTAACAAATGACACGAGAATTCTCGCAAAGGCAGAAAGGCAGGCGAAATTAAATTATGTAAATCCAGCGAAAAACGCCTATCCGGAGGTTTCGCGGGAAATTGAGGCTTCGTTGGGAACAACGAGTGTTTCGGATGACCTCCTTTTAACGTAGCACACTTTAACATAGTATTTATAACCGTTTACTCACATGTTAGAATCACCTGTACCATAAACATATTATTATGTCAAAACGGTAGGAACGAACACAAATCTATGTCCTTTGAGTTATGGATGTTATCTGCAACTTTGGCACATGATAAAACTTTTCAGAACCATCTCACCAAAACACTTTACATATTAATTTTATTATTAACTAGCAGTGCCAGTTACTTTGTCCGTGTAAAAAAGTTATTTCGGGCATCCAAATTGGTTTTTGCTAATTCCTCTAGATAATTATACCTTTAAGCTGTTACCCATGACGTCGGTCGTAACCTGTCGTTCTTGCAAGTTAGTAACAGCTTAATATTTTACAGCCTTTCTCGATAAATGTTCTAACCAACACGAATAATAATTTGCAACTTGACCCAGTACTTCCTGAGATTAGAGCGTTCAAACAAAAAACCAAACAAACTCCTCAGCTTTATATGATAGTGTAGATACGCAAAAGTGTTTTTTATCCAATCAACTGTACAATTATAAAACAAAAGGAGCTCGATGACCAAATGAAGTAGACACAAACAATAGTGGTGACTATTGTTGACTCAGTGGTGAAAGCCTCCGGCCACACTTTGTTCTCGTATAAAGGCTCCGTTAA